TTAAGTTGCAACAGTTCAATATTTAATTTCTAGAACTACAAACTAGGAATCAATTTATGCAAGAAAGAAAATACCCTAAGCGTCTGTTCTTCCTCAATTGTCCATGGAACCTTCTTTCCCCTCAACTGCGGAACTTGCTAGGCATGTGCTGCAGAGAAAGAACATTTTAGCACTTGAGATTTCATTTTTGAACATTTCGAGTTAAATCAACTGCATAAATATTTTGCAAAAAAAAAAAAAAGAAGAAAACCTCTGCATGTTCCAATGAGGAAAAAAATCATTGGAGAAGCATATTAAGGATGCCAAGTGGGAAAAACACACAAGGAAACAGCAGAAATGTTGTGATAATCTAATGGAAAGTTATTCACGTATGGAAAACTTACCACTTCCGTTGCTGCCTTCTGAATCTTATGGAATAGTTCAATTTAATAACCTCATCATTTTCAGTATAAAAAGTATCCTCTCCATCAAAATTAAGAACAACGGGTTGCTGGTCAGGATTAGTTCTATGTCATCATAAAACTTCGCTCGGAATACTCGGAATTCCTGCTTCAGCTTGCCTCTGATTTAAATGGGCAGTTTCAGTGTTTTGAGTCTTTTGACTGGATGGATTGTCACTGTTGTAATCAGGGCCATCTGAAAAAAGCTGGGCCCCTTGTCTTTCGGGCTCTCCCTCTGATAGGCTCTCCTTTCTGAATTCTTTCTTCGTCTTCTCTGTGATTTACTACATGGGAAACTTCAGTGTTTTCACTGGATGCACTGCCAATGTTGTAGTCAGGGACAGGGCAGTCTGATAGTTGGGCCCTTTGCTTTTCGGGCTCTCTCTCAGATCGGTTCTCCTTTACCACCTTTTCTTTGCCTTCCTTTCCGATCGTAGCATTGCATGCTGTCCCACTGCAAATATTTTGACTCGTTTTCCATCCATGGTTGGTTGACATCTATACATGATATGAAAGGCCCTGATTGTTGTTCATCAGCTAGATTTCTTTGAAACTGGCAATCAAAAACTCTTTTTTTGACTTCTTGTACTTTATTCTCTCTCTTTCAAATGCCCATTCCCCTGCATTCTGATGCAACTTGCCTCATCCTTCATACTTTGTGTACTGATATCTCTACACGATGTAGAGGACCCTGGTTGTTGTTTATCAGCTAGACAACTTTGACACTGACGACTTAGATCTTGTCTGTTTTGCCTTCTTGTAATTTTTTCTTTTTCCTTCAAATTCCCACTCTCCTGAATTCTGAGTAAATTTGCCTCATCTCCTACACATGTTGTGTTAACACCTCTGATTATCAACTAGACCTCTTTGAAACTGACAATTAGCATCTTCTCCATTTCGATTTGTTGGATTTTGCCCTTTCCTATGTCCCTCAATATGTTCCATTGAACAATGCTCAAACAAATGAATAAATGCAGATAGTTTCTTCCTTGCCAAATGGTCTTTCTTCTTAGTTTCAAGATACTCTGAAATAGAAAGAGAATACACACAAAAAGGGAACTGGAAGTTGCCCTTATCTTAATCCTTTTTCTTATTTATGGACAAAATGATAAGTTTTTGTAATAAAAAGAATTATATCCTGTGCAGATTCTGTTTTCATCAAACCTAGAGGAGTTGCAATTGTGCTCGATTGAGCATAATAACATCATATGGCACACTCTGATGATATCTTGTTTTGAGAAACTGAAGAAATTAATTATTTACGGCTGTAAAAATCTGGAATACCTATTCTCACCTTCGGTAGATTGGGATTCAGAAGGGATGATCCAACTCCTCCTTCCAAAACTAAAGAGGTTAGAATTGGCAGACTTGCCCCAGTTGAAGAGCATCTGTAGCAAGAGGGCAGCAATGGTATGTGATTCTCTTGAATGGATTATGATTTGGAATTGCTATAGCCTAAGGTGGTTCCCTCTTTATCTTCCTCTGCTTGAAAATGGACAACCATCTCCTCCTCCTTCCCTCAAACAAATCGTAGTATGGCCACAAGAATGGTGGAAATCGTTGCAGTGGGACCATCCTAATGCAGAGGGTGTCCTTCTACCCTTCTATGGAAGTTATCATTCGTTTCCTTTGGAATTAGTAGAAGGGTGTATTACAAGGTTGGAGTTCACTGATATTGATAGAGAGAATACTTGGCAGCTACCATCCGTACAAGAATTATCTATTAGTGGATGCAACAACTTAAGAAGTTTAGACGATCTCTCTGCCATTAAAGATGCAATAAAATTGAAGCGCTGTCGTATTACCCCTTGCGAAGGCCTGGAGTGTGTTCTTTCCTCATCCATGAATCCACTAGTCCGAAAGCTTGAGGTTCTGTATCTTTATAGGTTGGAAAAGTTGGATGCTCTGTTTGAAGCAGAAGTCATTACCAAAGTCACCACTGCCACCAGCTACTTTTCATCTCTTAAAACATTACAGGAAGTTGGAGGGGAGGGGAGGAAGACGAAGGGAGAGATTTCTCATTGTAGTGTTTGGATTATTAATTTTAATAGAGGGGGAGGGAGACGGAAGGAGATCTAACCCCCTCCACTCCCCTCTTTTAAATCCCTCCAAATCGAAAGGATTTGGGAGGATTGATTTTGTATATTTATTATTTTAAATATTTTTTAAAAATAAATATATAAAAATATTTTATTTTAATTATTTTTTTAATTAATTAATTTAAAATTTTTTATTTTATCTATTTTACTTTTTTAAAATTATTTAATTAAATAAAAATATTATGCTTTCCTGCTTTTATTTATCCAAACAAACTTAATATGAATTATTTCCTTCCTTCACTTTTCCCTCCTTTTCTTTCCTTTCCCTTCCTTCCCTCCCCTTTACTAATTTTTATCTAAACATAGGGTAAGTGTTCGGCAGTGTGATAAAATAAAGAAGTTGTTCCCCCTTTCGGATGTATCTCCGAAGTCTAGAAGAAATTAGCATTGCTTATTGCCATCAGATGGAAGAAATAATAGCATGGGATGCAGAAGAAGCAGAGGAGAAAAAGAAGGGGTCACCCAACTCGTTCTTCCAAAATTAAAAAGTTTGACATTGATGTACTTGCCCGAATTGAAGAGCATCTGTAGCAGGAGGGCAGTTCATCTTTACTTAGTGGCGCTGATTTTCTTTAATCGATGAAGAAGATGAAGAAGAAATCACCTATTGTCACTCTGAAACAGTTCATCTTCACCATGGCTTCTCTAATCGATGTGGAAAAGGTTCATCTTAGCTTTGGTCTATTTTTATTTCTAGAAATTGTTAATTCATGAACTGCAAAATGAGATAAAAAGGAACATGGACGAAATATGGATTAATTAACTGACTTCTTTTTGTTGAATCAGGAAGCTGAGATATCCGCCTCTATCTCTTAATGGGCATCAAGGAATTTGGATACTTCTCAA